CTTTTTTTTTTTTTTTTCCCAAGTACAAAGACTAGGCTCAGAGTTGCAAGAGCCAAATCAGAGGGGGAGGCAAGGTTGGTCTTGAATTTTCGTGTCACTTCACCTGCAGAACATGCTGGGAACCCATCAGACATGTAGGTGAGAGAAAGGTCGCACTGGGGTTTATCTTCCAGCGCGCTGGTAGGACGCAGCCGGGCATGGCTGGCCTCAGAGAAGGTCTTTCATGATACCCGATGGCAGGGCTTCCCCCGCCATATTCACAGCACCCAGGCCTGGCCTTTTCCGTGAGACAAGCACCATCACCTGCACCGTCCTCTTCAGCCCGGGCTGGCAAGCAGCTCCATCGCCCAGGAGAGCCAGGGGAGCACGCCGGCGCGAGCTGCCGGGCGCCTGGGGGGGTTTGTGGCACTTGGGGTAGTTACTGAAACACTCAAAAGCGTCGTTGCAGTTTCTGCAAGCCCCAGGGTGGTCACCGAAGCCCGGGGATGGGAAGGGCTGGAGCGCGGCGCTCGGGCAGCCACAGCAGAGGAGGGTGCGGATGGCCTGGAGGAGCACCATGTCCTTGGAGAGGAACTTCTGGAAGTTGGGCTTGAAGAGCAGGTACACCAGCGGGTTATAGAGCGTCGAGGACTTGGCAAAGACGGCCGAGAGCACGAAGGCCAGCGCCGGCACCTGGCTGGCGTCACCGAGGACTGCCCACAGCGCGACGACAGCGTAAGGGGTCCAGGCAGCCAGAAACCCCAGGCACACGGCAATGCTCAGCTGGAAGAGAAGGAGACGGAGACGGCAGTGCCATGAGCCTGCTGTGGCACACGCAGGATGCTGACACCCCCCCAAAACTCAGCCCTGTGCAGCAGGACCCTGAGCAGTTCGTCACATCCCCAGGGAAAGGTGCTCAGCCTTCTGGCCCCGTCACACTGGAGCATCAGGGTGTCAGACACCAGGGCAGCAACTCAGTGGGTCCCGACGTGGGCACACAAACCTGCGCTCACTGCAGGTGACTCCCACCCATCCCACCTGGGAAAGCTGGGAATTGCCCGAGCCAGCCACGGCAGACAGGTATGAAGCAGCCAGCGACGTGGCTGCGACCAGGCTGGCATCAGACGCCAACAGGAGCACTCAGAATCCCTCCAGCAACACGTGTGCTGCGGCTAAGAGCGACCGAGAGGCTCTGGAAGCAGGTCATGCTCAGACTCCCCTCCTCTAAGCAGACAAAAAGGTTTCCTTTGAGGCCAGGCTTGCAAGCTGTTTTCTTTCATGTTTGGTTTTTTTTTAAAGGGTATCCACTTTTTTTGTTTGACATTTCCTTGGTAAATTACAGTCTGAGGAACAATGACACATGCAAGCTCTTCTCCAATGTAATTTAAAATGAAAACTCCTCTCCCTGATGGCTTTAAACGAGGAGAGATGTGTTACTACCCACATGGGTACAAACACCCGGAGAACTCACCGGGAGCAGCAGGCACCCTGGCAGAAGGGGTCCTGC